TAAAAAAAAAAAAAAAAAAATAGATCACAGTGTCCACATCCTTCAAGAAAAATCAATATTAAAGAACCTGCTGCATGAGAACAGAATCTTTTTGAAGAATAGCACTGTTACTCCGCATGCTTTCCAGCATCCCACAGCTGGGGCCTTGAAAAACAAGGTGGTTGCACCTTGTTCTTTTGTTCTCTCATAGAACAAAATATACCAGACTTATTCTATTCTAACATTTTGCTTGTTGATACGGTATATTCATATGACCTTGTCCATCAACACATACTGTAGTACTGGGAAGAAGACTGTGCATGTTAAAGGAACAACTGTCAGCTCCAAGATATTTATATGAAGACTGGTCTTGGTAACCCAGATGCCTCAAGCATGAGGGAGGTGCTTTGTAGACACAGATGGATGGGAAGTTGTCAGGGTCTTTCTGGGAAGTTCTGGGAGTCCACTGCATACATGTAGACAGTCCTTCCATCAATCTAATGAAAACAACCTTCTGACAATCCTGACCAACATGTCCATCTTTTATCTCTCATAAGACACAAAAACTTCAACTATCCTTGCAAGGAGTGAAGGTGAAGTCTGGCAAACTGTCACACAAGTGCAGATAGCTACATGTCCCACGAGCTTGGAACAAAACCTTTGGATGGGTCTAAACAACAAGTGAGGCAGACTGACAAAGAATCTGTCATGTGGCACGTCAGCCTTTCCCAGTGGATGGACCCCTAAGTATGCTGTTTTGAGTAGGGGTTGAAAAAGGACTCTGCTCTGAGTTGAATGATCCCAAATCAGCCAGTCACTAAAAAAAATGGGTAAACAAATTCCTGAATTACTCAGATATGCAGCCAGGACCAGCTATGTAAAACCCTCACGACCGTACAGAAGCTTAAAGTATACCACTCTGTATTGGGAATAAGATACTCATTCCCAATACAGAGGTAATTTTTATGGATGAGACAACACAGTATGAAAATAAGTGTCTTGCAAGTTTGGAGCAATAGTTTCAAGCAGTAACTGGAAAAGGGCAAATACAGTGCCCAAGAAAGGGGAGAAGGAAGATGCTGTAAAGTGCAGACCAGTCAGTCTGACCCTGGATTCATCAAAAGCAAGTCATGCATGACCAACCTGATTTCCTTCTATGACAAGGTGAGAGCAGTGAATGCAACATACTTTGATTTTAGTAGGGCTTTTGACAGTCTCCCATTACATTATCATTGTTAAACTACAGAAACACAGACAAATGAAAAGTACAGTAGGGCGGATACATAACTAGCTAGATTGTTATAGTTTCATAGCTTCATAGTTTCTAGGGTCAGAAGGGACCTGAGCAGATCATTGAGTCCGACCCCCTGCCATGGCAGGAAAGTGTACTGGGGTCAAACGACCCCAGCAAGGTGTTCATCTAACCTCATCTTAAAGACCCCCAGGGTAGGAGCCAGCACCACTTCCCTTGGAAGTTGGTTCCAGATCCTAGCCGCCCTGACAGTGAAGTAGCACCTCCTGACGTCTAGCCTAAATCTACCCTCTGCCAGCTTGTGACCATTATTCCTGGTCACTCCTGGTAGTGCTCAGGGGAACAGGGACTCCCCCAATGCCTGCTGGTCCCCTCTGACTAGTTTGTAACAGGCCACTAGATCCCCCCTCAGCCTTCTCTTGTGGAGGCTGAACAGGTTCAGGTCCCGTAGCCTCTCCTCATAGGGCCTGCCCTGCTGCTCCCTGATCAAGCAAGTGGCCCTCCTCTGGACCCTCTCTATGTTGTCTACATCCCTCTTGAAGCACGGTGCCCAGAACTGGATGCAGTACTCCAACTGCGGCCTGACCAGTGTCGCATAGAGGGGGAGGATCACCTCCTTGAACCTCCTTGAGATGCATCTGTGGATGCTTGACAAGGTGAGGTTGGCCTTCTTAACTGCATCCCCACACTGGTCGG